GATCACCAGCACTGGAGAGGCACACATCGTGAAATGCCCTTTCCTTTGTCTGCCATCTGCACCGCTTTTATATAGCATGCGCGAGATGCCTTTGCGATCCCTTACTTCCCCTATCCCTATTGGAGTGGGAACTTCATCTTGGGTGATAAGGAATGACTGCTTTAAGCTTCTCACAGAGGTCGGCCCAGATTCCATTAAAGGTTGATGGGCAGTCCACCGACCAGAATTCGTAACCCTAGTCACCTCGTTGTAGTCGCCAGCGTGACTGGTAGTGCGAATTGTTCCTCTGGATCTGTGGCCCCCTGTAAAACGTAGAGAGGTATCGAGGCGCTTTAGGTCGGCCTCGTCTAAGTTCATTCTATCCGAAAGCAGTTTTGAACAGATGTTGCACAGCACTTCCCGTTTGTCCACAAGCATTCTGCAGACATTATGACAATCCTATCAGGGGCGTGATCACCAAGGGCATCCTCGTGAGGATGGTGCAAGCGAGATGCTTCCCTTTCGCAGAAGGTGGATCGCGTCTCCTCCTTTCGAGCCTTTTGTGTCGCTGCAAATATTCATTACTCTGATTGGGTCGTGATAGCTTTGCCAGCATACTTTCTTGCGCTCCTCGCGTATTCCCCGCAAGGTGCGGACCTCCGAAAATTATATTAACGCTACTGTATCCACTGCGGTTACGATTGTTTTTCTTTTGCTCCCCTTGGCTCTCCTTTGGGGGTCATCAATATACTCCTTGAAGTGCCCCTTTTTAATGACTCTTCGATGGCCTGCTTTAGGGCGTCGGCCATTCATCTGTGATGCCCCTATCCCATGGTAACGGCAGTATTTTTGCTGTTTCTGGCCCGTAGCAGGAGTTTTCATGGTTTTGGCTCACCGAGCAGGACCGGCCTCCTCCGATTTTGTCAAGCATGAGATATGGACACGTTCCGCAATTGTATCGCCTTTGTTTCCCTGTCGCCGACGAGGAACAGAAGCATGGACTTTTTTATGGCTTAGGGTGTTTCTTCCCTTTCTCGCTGATCAATCAATGTCTCCTTTGCGGATCAGCTCTCCTACTTTCTCCCCGACCAGGCATACTGCTCGAGAACGCCATGATCGCCGGCGACGCGAGTGCGCCCAATGATCTCTTATTCGGAGATACTTTTCTGCAAGATTGTAAAATCTGGTGAGGGGAAACATCGTCCTCAGACCTGCATTATTTCATCACAGCTCCGTTTGCGTGCTAACCCAGCTATTATAAGTGTTCGGATGACTTTCTGGAGCTTGATTGTCCACCTTGTTTAGTTCCCTGTGGAAACGGTCGATGTAAGATTGCAGGGATTCGTCTCTTTCTTGCCTTATGTTGCTGAGATAGCTCAAAGGCATCGAAAATTTCCGATTGGCTTGGAAATGCCGTAAGAACGTCGTGCTCATCTGAGGCCACGAACTGATCGATCCCGCTGGGAGCGACCTTAACCACCGCTTGGTGTGAGAAGTGAGCGTCACGGCCAAACAGCGGCATTTTGCAAGGTCCGAAACCTGGTGGAGCTCCATCAGGTCGTTGAACTCGTACAAATGGTCCTGCGGGTCATGGTTCCCGTCAAATGGTCACCTGTCGGGCATTCTGAACCCTGGTGGGAGTGGAGCAGCTAGCACTTCGGGAGAGAATGGGGATGCAGAGGCGACCTGGGCCTGTTCGCTTTGCTGCTCCCTTAACCTGTCCAGAGCTCGCTGTAGCTCCTCAATTTGCGGTAACAGGCCCAATTGAGGGTTGCTTTCACCCATGCGAGTCCGGCCTTCGCGATTACGGTTCAGGAAAGTCCGGAGGTCGGATTCCTCTTCGCCTTGGTCGGCATTTTCGGTCGCACTCGACACATGCTGGCTAGAGGCGTGTGAAGGCGATGGATTGAGCGGGGCGTTATCACGACCCTCGCGGTGGTACGAACTACCCCGCGAGGTGTGGGGGCCACCCGCATAACGATCAGGATCGTTCTGCTGGCGGTGATAGGAATCATCGCGCCTGGCATTTTTGCTTGGGTTCGCCTGCGACGTGGCATGGGACAGCTCAGGATTTACTTTTTCGTCGAGTCTCAGCTTTGCCGGCACCCTGCTCGGGGCGCGATTTGTGCTCGCTCGTCCTTGGGAGCCCGTAGGCTTACCTTTTGCCACTTGCTTTCCCTTACGTCTACGTGCTGCAGTGCTCGCGGCATGGGCTATTGCCCTTTGCCGCGCTTTCGCGCGACCTGCAGGCGTCTTTGGCGGTTGCACCGCCCCAGCTGTTGTAGATGACATGCCTTGGTCCAAACGGTCCAACCTTTGGTTGACCATCTGGAGAGTATTGTCGAACCTCTCCAGGTAGCTTCTGATGGCGAGGTCGAGTTGTGAATCTGCCGGAATATCCCCCGCAGCATTTTGTGGAACCGGAAGTACCCTGGAGGGGGTATCCCCTTGGGTCAAGGGGACTCCTTCAGCGCGCTGATTAGCTTGCTCAGGTTCTGATTGGCGGGCCATTTGTTGCTGTAGGACCAGTAGGTTGAAGATTCTCCTGATGAAGGGTACACGCTAAATCAGGCCCTCCTTCTAGCGCCAAACTGTTGATGCGCGGTTTAGGTACCAACTAATTGACACGTGTGCAGCGTTGATTGGACAAGGAACACACGTGAATATGGATTATCAATATGAAATAAATGCAATGAGAGCTTTTAAAGTGGTTCGGATGCTAAGGTAGCAAGTCCTACATCCACTGATTTGTATTTATACGGTGGGTCAAGTCACTAAAGCGGACTGACTTACAAATGATTGAAAAAGTAAATACCGAGCTTTTTTTTAGAGAGAGAGAGTTCAAATGTCAAATGATCGAATCCCCTTAATGAAGGGGTGTTCCTCTTCTTATATCAAGTTGAATGCGTATAATCATCATTAAATCCTTGGGTTGGTGTGAATGTCAGGACATAATCTGGCTTTACGTCCCATTGCCCATTTCCCAAGCTGATCTTACGCGATTTGGAGCAGGTAAGCGGACATGTGGGAGCTCTAGGGTGCCTGGCAGGCCTGACGTGCGTTTACCGTTTTGACAGGAGCAGGCCATATTTCGTCACGTGACTCCACGTCAGCCCTTGATTTCTTAGGCATAACACCACATTTGCTATTCGGACAAGAATATCTTAACCCAATATGCTGTTTCTTCTTTGTCCAACCTTATTCTAAGCATGTAATTAAAAAATATATATATATATATAAAACATAAATTTAAATTTAATTTGGATCACACATTAGTTGTTGATCCACCCTTCTTGCTGCAAAATTTACACAATCAACCACCGTGCATGTGAGAAAATCACGGCATGGATTTTCTCACCAAAAATTTAAGCATTGACCTAAAATATCTATTGTACTGCATGAGTGCCACGTGTAAACATAAATCTTGGGAGATTATCGAGGCTGATGCTTCCTGAATCCCACACTGCCATAAATGGTGTTACAGACTCACATCAAAGTCGAACTTTGCTCAACACTTTAGGGCTGGTTGGACGGAGCAAATAAGACAACAAGATAATCTTCATTTATTTTATATAAGATTTTTATATTTGATTTGCAATAATAAAATATTAAATTTTTTTATTATAAATACTATTTATTATTTATTTTATAAGATTTTTATATTTGATTTGCAATAATAAAATATTAAATTTTTTTTATTATAAATAGTATTTATTATTGATAATATAAAGGATAATTTTATTACTTTATTAAAGAGTGTTATTAAAATATTATTAGGGTAATATAATTTTTTTTACCCATTTTACTCTTAATTAAAAATTATTTCAGACACAATTGCCCTCAACTGTTTACCAAATAACAATTATCTAGTCCCTTTATATTTGAGAAATTAGTTAAAACACCCAGTCACAAAAAAATTTAAAAGTTAATAAAATACTTTTAGCCACTCAAGATCACCATCGACTGTGACTCACCATCGCTGATCGCAGGCATTAGTTGTCGTAATGGTGTACGATCGGTGGGATCTAACTGGTCTTGTACTAGTAATGCCTTTTCCGGCCATAGATCTGTTGGAAACGACCAGATCTGGCATTTCTATGGCCGTTTCACAGCAAAAGATGTGACCGCGAAAATGCTAGATCTTTGGTGGTGAAATGGCATGGCCAAAGATCTGGCCTTTTCACGGCCACAAATATGGCCATAGATCTGGCCGTTTTTCTGCCATAGATTTATGATCCATGGCCATTTTCGACTTTGTCGACGCACAACTGACGATATACGGCTAGTTGTGCGTCATTCCTTCGACTGTCAGTAGTGGCTTGGGGTGGATGGAGGTGATTTTGTTACAAATTAAAATTTTATTTGATTGGGGTGTTTAGGCAAAATTTCAAATGTAAGGGGTTACAAGAAATAATTCAAAAAATAATAATAAAAAATACTATTATATTAGTATTTAAAAAGGAGGGCAATTTAGTAATTTATATAATATATCCACTTATTCTTCTTCCCAACCAATCATATTATTCATCAATTTATTTGTACCAACCAAACACATTTTTTAAACATTTTTAATAATCTTTAAGGTGATCTTTCTTTCCGTTAATATAATATACTGTATAATAAAAATTATATGATCTAAACGCCCCTTTAATACAACCTCTTTAACCAGCAATAGTTATTGTCTTGTCCTAATAAATAACCACTAATTAGTCGCCGTAATTACACTCTTATGGTAATTAACCCCATTTAACTTGGAATTTTAACAGATGGGCATTATGGGAATTGTGGGTAATGAATAGAGACAACACTGTTCTTCTGCATATGCTCGTCAACAAGTCTCCTTCTTCCTGTCTGTTTCTTTTTTCATTCATATATATATTCCCTTCTCTCTGTTTCTCATGCCATCACAAACGTCAAGAGTTTCCCTTTTTTTTTTTTTTTAAGATTATTATTAAATAAATGAAACAACCCCTTAAACAGTCTTGATCTCTCTCAATATGTCTCCTTCTTTAGCACAAAACATGTCTACCACTTCTTCTTCTTCTTCTAATATCTGGTTAGTTTCTTACTTAAAGCTTCAATTTTTTTCTCGTATTCGTCGTTTCCTGCAATCCAAAGCTGCTCGCAAGCGACGCACTGATTCCAATCATGTTGATAGTATTAATACATCATCAACAACATCCAAAACTCTAATCAATCATCAAGAAGTAATTCAAGTTGCGGTGGAGGAACAAATCGAGAATGATTCTTCCGTGGTGTTACAAAAGTCTGTGAAAAGGATTCACTTTGGAAGCTGGGAAGAGAAGGAGATGGCTGCCTTGGAGATACAGAGAATTGCTAAAGAAGATGTGAAGATTAAAAAGTTGATGGCCGAGCTCGGAGTTATTCATGTGTTAGTCTCCATGGTGGCCACGGAGGTGGTTGGCCGTCGCCAGGCAGCGGTTCAGGCCTTGATCGAGCTCGCTAATGGAACTTACACGTAAGTATTAATTAATTAATTAATTAATTATCCTTGATACTCATATTAATATCAATTTTTAAAAATTTTCATTATTAATTTGATCATCATAAGGAAATATCTTGCATGCAAGGATCGATAATAATTAATTAATCCATTATTTAAAATGCAACAATTTTTTTTTTTATGTGCGGTTTTAGGCCACCAACTAATTGACACCGTGTGCAGCGTGATTGACAAGGAACAACACGTGAATATGGATTATCAATAGTGAAAAAAGAATAGAGCTTTTTGGCGAATGTGGGGAGAGTGGGGGGGGGGGGGGGGGGTAGGGTTTCCGATGCTAAGTAGCAAGTCCCTACCCACGATTTTATGTATACGTTGGGTTAGGTCGCTAAAGCGACTGCACTACAAATGATTGAAAGTAATACCAGCTTTTTTTTTAGAGAGAGAGAGAGTTCAATGTCAAATGATCGAATCCCCTTAATGAGGGGTCTTCCTTCTTATATCAAGTTGAATCGCTGTAATCATCATTAAATCCTTGGGTTGGTGTGAATGTCAGACATAATCTGGCTTTACATCCCATTGCCCATTTCCAAGCTGATCTACCCCATTTGGAGTAGGTGAGCGACACGTGGGAGCTCCAGAGCGCCTGGCAAGCCTGACTTCGCTTACCATTGCTGACGGGAGCAGCCACATTTCGTCACGTGCTCCATGTCAACCTTTGATTTCCCAGGCATAACAGAAGTCCCCTAGTTTTTAAGGTTTGAGGATCGAACCTTGGAAACTAATTCATGCCGCCATTGGAGGTTTCTGGTTGTTTCGACCTGAATGGGAAGCTCGAGACAGGACCTTTTACGAACACGACCTCACAATTCTTGCCCAAATGACCTGACAATCATCATTTTTAGCGACCTGGATTCGTCGGACGCTCCTTCTTTTCTGTGCCTTGGAGAGATTCAATGACACCTGCATCCACGCTGTCGGGCGCTCTACACATGCTGCAGGTCTGTCGGGTGCATTAAATGCGTTGTGTGCTGACCCGATTTCGTTTTGACAGCTTTAACTGCACGATGCTTTGAAACGACGACCCTCATCGGCATTTAATGCACTGGTTGCATTAAATGCGGAGAGAGAAGGCTGTCGTTTTTGGTTCCGGAGTAGTACCGTTCGATTCGCAGTCCATAAAAACTCACAATTTTTCAGATGAGGCCACCAAAAATCCCTTTTGCTTTTCGAGTGATAAGCCTTTGCAAACCGGAAGTTCTTCTTTTCCGATTGGCGCTTCCTCAGGCATCTGAAACAATTTCGGCTTGGTCACGCATCCCAGAAGGTAAGATCCTTTTTCCTCCCTCCTCTTTTTTTTTTTTTTTTTTTGTTTGTTTGGTTGGTGGCAACGGCGTTGGTCTCCTGGTGTTTAACCAGAGACGCACCGCTGTCGCCGGGACTCGAGCTGTGGTGGCGGCTCGGTTACTGTTAGGGTTTTAAGGAATTTGTCCCATGCCCGCCGCACGGACAAAATGCGAAGGCTAAAATGACTGTCTATCGGTCTTGCAGACTCTGGAATGGAACCGTCAACATCCAAACCCGAGGAAGGAACCACTCGTCCTCGCGCGAGAAGTTCCCCTGCGGACGCATCCCTTGACTCTTCTCGTTCTCACCCGAGAAGAGCTTGATAGGATTAAAAACAGTACAACGCTACGCAGAGGTGTTCCTCGACCACACCCGGTCGTCACGGCATCCGCTGATGGTCTTTGCTTGCGATCTCTGAAGAGATCTTCAAGGGTGGAGGATGATTCCCTTCCATCCTTTCATCAGGTCGATCCTGGATCACTTCGGGATCGCACCGATGCAGCTGACACCCAACCGTATGTCATTGCCGTCACGATGTACATCGCGTGCTCGCAAGCGCCTTGGGCGACCAACGCGTGTGGAGCTAGTATCGCCTACTATCTTAAAAGAGTGGGACAAGGATTCATATTACTTGTCCCGACGACCTACCATCCGCCGAGGGGATACATAGCTATCCCAGCAACGCGGGGCCTCAGATGAAATTCCTTTTTTTCTCTGCTATGATGGCTACAGTCGCTTTCAGCAAGTAGGTTCTTCCTCGCTAGTGTATTATCTGTTCACATGTTTTTATAATAACGACCTGTATCTTCTTTTGCAGTTAATAGAACGACCAGTCAAGACTACTCGACGACCCGGACAGGCTCGTATCTTTGGAGTCCTTCCCGAGGAAGTCGGACGCGAGGAAGCTCGTGACAACCGCGAACTGCGGAAGTACGGTTTTATCAATAGCAACGCATCTTTAGAGCCCCAATAAGTAAGTTTACATTGATTCCCTTCCTGGTCGCAGAATAGTTTGTTTACTAATGCACTGTGCATGCATAAACTATGCCTCCGAAGGAGTTCCGAGCAGCCTCGCCAAGCACCGTTCGCTTCCCTTGATCAAGGATGAGAGAGACGGCCGAAGCTGCTCGTCCTATTCCGGCACACCGGTGCGTCGAACTGCCTCACCTTCCCAGCCCCAACCTGTGCAGAAGCGACCAGGGCAGAACAGGTCCGTCAGGCACCACCTGCTCGCCCAAGGCGGAAGGCTCGGCCCTGAGGTCGAAGAAGAGAAACAGATTCAGGTCGATGAGTCTGAGACCGAATCCGAGGAAGAGCCCTTGAGGTCGCGAAAGGACTCGGGAGGTCGGGCAAGGAACCTGTGAGCGAGCGATCACTGCCGACAAGGCGAAGGACGCACCAGTGTTGGACTCGTTGGGGAGCCTGCCCGAATACCTGTACCGATAGTCCCTATTCTCTGCTCGAGTGTGGACTATCGATTTGTATGATGATTTCGCTAATACGGCAACGACCTGATGACCACGTCGTCCAGCATCTAAGCAAGGTAACAGCTGCTCCTAAAATTTCATTCAGTTCATTTCTAATCATTTTTTGCTCAGCAGCTTTGCTTGTGATGAGGATGTCTATGAGAAGACCCGGCTGGGGCCGCGAAGGGGCCAGCGACCTAAAGGAGGAGATCGCGAAGCTCAAGAAAAGTCTGGAGTCCGTCGAAGCTGAAAGACGCAAGCATTCGAAGCGGCGAACAGGTATCTGAACCAAAAGATGCTGTTTTACTGAACTGTGGACTTCCAAAAGGCGAGCTTGAGCGACCGTGCCGAGGAAGTGAAGGAACTTCAAAGGACACCGCCAAGCTCTCCAAAGAGGTCGGAGAGAAGGACCAGGAATCCAGACGACCTCCATATGGGCTCAGCAAGCTGAACAGAAAGGGAGGCCTCCGAACAGGAGAAGCAACTCTTGAGCGCCGAACTCCAGGGAGTCAGGAAAAGATCGCTTCACTGACTGAAGAAATGCGGATTCATCGAGAGATGGAGGAAAAGGCCGCCGACTAGGTGATCGGGTCTATTATTTCCCTGCGATTAAAAACCCAGATATGGACATTTCCGACCTCCCAAAGGGGTGGCGAGAGACCTTGCGGATTATGGCTAGGAAGAACGATCAAGCAGACACGGCCACCCGACGATCCACCAGGCAGGGGTTTCTGGTCCTGCTTCGAAAGATCCCCCCGACCAGCCGTATGTAAATGAGTCTTGACTCCATTGAAATTGGGTCTTAACTTTTTGTTTTGTACATAAATGAAAATACTTGCTTTCAATTGCTATTCGCTTTTTCATACATAAGTGCAATTTACAATTCATTTTTACATAGGCTATATACATGCGATTCTTACCGCGAACAAACACATGCGAACTGTTTCCACGAACCAAATTATGCTTTACATAAGAGGAAACTAACAAAAACTAATTGAGAGCTGTTTTGGGATTACTGATAGTATGGCCGGAGGTGTTCGGCATTCCAAGCTCGGGTACTTTGGAACCGTTCAATCTTTTGAGATGGTAAGTCCCCGGTCTGATCACCTTGTCGACCGACGGTCCTTCCTAGTTAGGTCCTAGTACCCCGCGCACTTGGCTCTCTGGTCCCCAAGGAGAACTTCCTTTAGCACAAGGTCCCCGACCTGGAAGTCTCTTTCGCTTGACCTTTGAATCGAAAACCTCTTTGCTCGCTTGCTGGTAGCTGCTATCCTTAGCGAAGCCTTACTGCGATGCTCTTTCACAAGATCCAACTCGCCCTCATAAGTGCTTCGTTTTCAACCTCATCGTACAAGTCTCTCCTAAGAGAACCAGTTCCCCACCTCTATAGGAATCATCGCTTCGCAGCCATAGGCTAGCGAAAAGGGGTCTCTGAGGTGGAAGTTCTTGGAGTTGTCCTGTACGCCCAAGACTTCGGGGAGGTCGTCACCCAATTTCCTTTGGCCGCCCCGAGCTTGGCTTTTAGAGTGTGCTGTATGGTTTTGTTGACTGCTTTAACTTGGCCATTTGCTTGCGGTCTGGCAACTGAGGCGAATTTTATGGATGCCCAGCTCATCGCAGAACTGTTGAACTCCTCGTTGTCGAATTGCTTTCCATTGTCTGAGATAGGTGTGGGGATTCAGTTAGCGGCACACTATGTTCTTGAAAACAAGTCTTTTAGCTTTCTGGTCGTGATCGCGGCCAGCGGTTTGGCTTCCACCCATTTCGTGAAATAATCTACTACTGCGACCACGACATCCTTATCCCCTCCCTTTCCAACTGGCATGGGACTGATAGGTCGATCCCCCACATGGAAATGGCCAGGGGCTAGACATTGTTATCAGCTCGTGCGAGAGGGTCGTGGAATGTTCGCGAACCCGCTGGCACTTGTCATATTTTTTGACAAAATTGTGCGTATCTTCCTGGATCCGGGGCCAATAATATCCCTAACGAACAACCTTGTTCGCGAGAGATCGAGCAGCTGGTGATTACCGCAGATCCCTTCGTGAATTTCCCTCATGATATAGTCTGCTTCTTCACTGGTTACACATCGAGGAGGGGGGCACTGAATCCTCTCCTGTACAGCTGGTCCCCAATGAGTGTGTAACGAGCAATCTTGCTCGCAAGGACCCTTGCCTCGACCTTGTCGTCTAGCAAAGTCCCATCC